GTGTGTGTGTGTGTGTGTGTGTGTGTGTGTGTGTTTTTGTATTAAAGTGAAATTAAATGTTGACACTTTTGGAAATGTTACCAGGATGCACTCATACTGTGGGTAGTGAACTGAAGAAACAGTGTCCTGTTTAAAGGGAAATGTACTGTATTTATGGAGCTTCTTTTATATACATAGATTCACTTAATTTTTAGTTGAATTTAATTTTTTTCACATTTTTTAAGGTTTACAGCTTTTCTCTGCAGCAGAATTTTTTTTATCTTTTCTGAGAAAACTAAGGCTACGTTCACACTACAGACAAATGTGACCCTTTACAAAAAATCTGTTGTACTAAATCAGACAAATATCTGATGTTTTTCAAAGCGGCTGCAGTCTGAACGCTCAGACTTCAGTGAAGTGGGGTGAGCAGATCGATCCACTAACGTCGAGTCATGCTGTTTAAATCTTGTAGCTACACTCTTCTTCAGCCACAGAACAGTTGCTTCATCGTTGTTCTTTTAATTTTCCATGTCCTGGATGGCTGAGAATCCACAGAAATATATAACATTCAACGTCTGCCGCAGACCTTATCAAACTAAAGTTACTCAGTTGATACGTTACTTTCAGCTCGCTGCTTTGTTCCAGAAATAAATGCTGGACCGGAGCATCCCGTCAGAGGCAGATTAAAATGTAAACACTGAACTAAACAAACATGTCAGATAGTTATTCGGCTCTGATTCCACAACAGCTTCAGAATTGACAAGCTAACACGTAGCATCCATGTTTAGCTAATTTTGTAAACGCCATACTGATTGTGACTGATGTCGTCTTCTACACATGTGGGTCGCATCAGTGCTAAGTCGAGTTCATACCGGAGTCAGATGGAAGTCACATGTCTGTTAGCAATATATTTCGTAAGTCATTGCACAGAGTTTATTAAAACTTTCAGAAAATAACCAATAGATGAACCGTTCCAACTGATTAACTTTTGGAGCAAAGCCAGTTCAAGATGGCCACTGCAAGTTCAGTTAATTTCACAAATGTTGAACTAAAATTTGCTGTGTTAGTAGCTGATTCTCATTTACACCCACTTCACAAAATCTTTGCCCAAAACTTTTGCATTAACTGATTGATTTCTCATTAAACACAGATTTGAATGAAACTCTCAGCAAGTAATCACTGGATGTACAACTGATTAGCTTGTGGAGTCAGTTTAATTTAGTATTGTTGCCGCAACCAGACGTTAGAAAAAAYAACTCAGTCAGTTTTGCAGATATTGAGCTAATATTTGATGTGGAAGCTGAGAGTCATTCCCGAAACAGAAACCGTTGGATCAGGATGTCTTTGTTTGTCACTATTAACAGGTTTTGCAGGAGAGGATTTTGTCCTTGAGAAAGACTATAACAAGCAGAGAAACTCAAACACACAGTAAGGCAAAGAAAACTTCACGTGTGCAAATCGTACAGACATAAACTGAGAGAGACACATTTTAGAAGAAACTTTAAGGGAGAYAATGTGTACCGAGACATTTATAAGGTTATGTAAGCCTCACGTCCTTTTATTGGAATTTGAAAGATGATAAATGTGAACTTAATTATTTTTTACTTAATAATTTTATGACTTATTGCTCTTTTGTGAACTTAAGTTCAATTTGAAGTTGAATTATCTTTAAAGTCTGTAACAGTAAATAATTAATAGTCCATTAGTTAGCTCCTGACTGATTTCAAAATGACCAAGCATTTAAATAAACAATATCAGGCAAAAAAAGCAGCCAGTTCTTCCTGATATTTCCTCTTGGCAGGCTCTAAAATCATTCAGTGTATTTAACAGCTTTGTTGCTAAAATACAGAATAATAAATGACGGCCATTATCATGCTCGCCTCTTCTCTCTTTTTTGGATGTGGAGCAAGTGGAGGAGATAAAATTGTAATTTGGTTTGATTTTTAAGACGAGCCTCTCTTTCACACCACGATAGTTAGCTGAAGAGTTGTTTCGGCTTGTTAGCATTAGCACAAATGAAACTGCTGCTCTTAATTTAAAGAGAAGCATAAATTGTTAAGTTTTGTTATGAAAATAAATCAATATTTTAATACAAACGCATGAAATTTAATATCAGCTTTAACTGGTTGAAGCTGGCTTTCATTGTGCCACTTATCGTCCTGTGTGTCCAAAACTTTAAAATGCACAAATTAAAGGTTTTGTACACTCTGTGCCCTTTCTAGACTTTGACTCTTCAATGTTTATTACATTGTTGAAAACTGACTTAGTTCAGCTCAGTTGCACCCCCCACGGCTGTTTCTAAACTGCACTGTATTTTGCTGTTATTGCCTTTGTACATTATTTTATTATTTTTATTTTATTATTACTACTGCTGTTGTTACTGTTATTTATTGTATATTGTTTTTAACACTTTACAACTTTTTGTGTGAACCTATAATTCTGCTGCTGCTGTTACACCTGAATTTCCCCTCTGTGGGTCAATAAAGGATGCTTCTATTCTATTCTATTCTATTCTATTCTATTCTATTCTATTCTCAAAATGTGTTAAAAATACTGTTTTGTATTTTTATTTATTTGAAGTTGTTATTTTTGATGGCTCAAGGGCCCTATCTGGCCCCTGGGCCCTTACTTAGCCCATGTGTGGCCTTTAATCTCTGATATTTTCTTTATTTGTTTGTTTGTTTGTTTGTTTCTGTCCAGGACCCGAGGGCAAAGCATAAATTTAAGATTCACACGTATTCTAGTCCAACTTTCTGTGACCACTGTGGTTCTCTACTCTACGGCCTCATACACCAGGGCATGAGATGTGACCGTATGTGTTTTGCTTTGCGCGCGCACGCACGCACACACACACACACACAAGCACTCATGTCTGATCATGTTTACAGATATATTTGTAATACCACTGGCTTCACTGCATTTGTGTGTCTCCAGACTGTATGATGAACATCCACAAGCGCTGCGTGCCCAACGTGCCGAACCTGTGTGGAACGGACCACACCGAGAGGAGAGGTCGCATCGAAATCAGCGCTGATGTCAAGACTAATGTTCTCACCGTTACCAGTGAGTCTACAGCAGGAACACACACTACACCTGTACAAAAACATCAGCTCAGTAAGAACAAATAAAATTAAAAACCTGTTGTTTGTCTCCCTCTGYTGTTAGACAKGAGGAAGTGCAGGATGGATCTTGARTTTAAATTYAGAAATTATTTAGTTCATATTTTTCACAACGCTTGTTTCTAAATGCACAGGTTTGTGTCTGGTTGTAACAGTGTTGTAAAAAAAATCTTGTCTGTCCAAAATCTCAGTTTTCAGTTTCTGCTTCTGTATTGCACCATCCTTTTACAGTGATGTTAACCACACATCATGAGGACATGTCTCATAAATATAAAGCAAGATTTATTTAAATGACTTGCTTCGAACTTCTTTGCTTTAATAATAAGTAACAAAAATATTATTTTGCATGTGATAAGAACAACTGTATCCAAAAAAAAAGGTCTTTTATAATTTAGAAAAAAAGAGTCTAAACAGATTAACAGGTGCTTTAGATAATTGTACAATGATTATATATAAAAAGGTCACTTTTTTACAGGGCTTTTCAACTAGTGGTCCACGGGCCAGTGACTTCTGTCCAGGCCCCCAATGAGCCCACTCCCCTCCAAAAAAAAAAAAAAAATAATAATAATAATAATAATAATAATAATAAATTGAAAATTTAAAAAAAATAATTTATGACTTAATGCAACAAAACAAAGAAATTTAAAAGGTAAATGATAATAATACTTGATATTTTACATAACAAGTACATAATACTTGTTATTTWACATGCAGTGTCTCAACTACCATTATCAGGCAAACTCCATCTTGGTTGTCTGGCCTCTGAGCTGCTGGCTTTGAGTAACTGTGGCCCCCTCAGCATTTTAGTTGAAAACTATGATCTAGGATGTCTTGAACATCTGCTCATTATGAGCAGTGGGAGATCATGTTATTGCTCATGTTTGCAGGTGTGTCAGCAAGAGTGTCTGTGTGTTAGCAAACCGATTTACGATCTAGTAAATGTATTTTAATGAACTATATTATTATTAAATCAGGAGATGATTTACAACTGATAACTTTTGGAGTTAACCCAACTTTTCATGGTCCACGATTCTTTAAACTTATCAAACATTTAAATAACTGTCATTTTTGCAGATATTCAGTTACATTTTGGTGTGGTAGTAGCTGAGACTCATCTCTGTCTTACATTCTGGCCTCACCTTTTTTTCTAAATMAATTTAATGAATGAATAATTATTTGCAAAAATGTGTTTAACATTGAAATAAAAAAGCAGAACCATATGCAATGTCTCATTGTACCTGGAGGTGGCAGCAGAGGTCAACATTACATCATYTAAACTGAGAGCCAATTCTCACTTAAATGGGATTAAAATCAGACTAAAAGAAGATTGATAAACCTTATTTTATAYTGTTGAAGTACAAGTAAAATAACTTGTAAACCCAAATCATTTAATGAAAATATCTCAAGCAGTGCCTTATTGTACATATCATACTGTACATATCACCTGTTAAATGTGGTCACATGTTTCTCAAATATCACCTCTGCACTAACTCGTCAATTTCATAAAAAAAA